GGCCACGTCGAGAGATCGATGTTAACGATGGAGGACTTCATGCAACGTTCCTCGATTTTGCAATCGGTACTTTATATCACGAAACAGACACTATAGAGGAAGACGACGATCAATGGTGGACATGCTTAGAAACGAACGGTATTCTAAAGCACGGAGTCATCATCATATGGGAAGCCCTGTCGCTGATCTATTTAGATCTATGTGCAGCATTGAGGTTGGAATTGGAGAGGTGGTGTCTACACCTGTTTGTAGACACGATTGTCGCCGGGAGTGTCTGGCCTTGTGGTTGGTTGACCACAAAGACTGCATATGTAGACATGTGGTAAATCCTGGGAAGGAAGAGATCATCGGATCCCAGTGGTGATGTCTTGGGATCATCTGATCCATGATATTTGGGCTCTGCGGGTATTGGGAGTCATTGGTCTGATGGACGAGTAGCATGTATTGATAAAGAGCCTCTCGTTTGCCCCGAAGTAGCTACGGTAGAGAATTCCTCTCCACTCCGAATGAATACAACCATCTTTTGCTACCCATTCACTTTCTATGTAAGGTCTGCGCATATGCGTATTTAATGCCCGCTACCTTGCGTAAAGCGTGAAAGTTACCGAATCCACGGGACCATTCCGTGGCTTCCGCCGTCCGTAAATATGGAGTGTAGGTTCGAGATTTTTAAGGCTAGACCCGGCCTCCCGAGGCAGATTGACAGATTGGCGGGAATTACTTAACTTAGCTACTCGCGGGGGAAACGTGGGGTGCAGGGTATGTGAAGGGAAAGAGCCTCGGCTTGTATTTCTGCGGGTCCGAACCAGCCGCCTTAGGCCATCGACTTCACCGTTACATTAGCTCTTGGACGTTGTTGAACAGACAACTCTCTAAGTTATACACAAGCCCAGTCTTTTATGCCTTGATCCAATTCCACGAAAGCTTCATTTTATATAGCACATAAGGAGGGAAAATAAGGAACAAATACATATACATACGCAATGGCCGAGTTCATCAAGGTCTCGTACTCGGGGCGTATAGCTACCATAACCATCGACAATGACAAGAAGCTCAACGCCTTGGACATGGACGGATACTATTTCCTTTCTAAGGCTCTGCGAGACATTGCCCTACGCGACGACATATACATCACCATTCTAACCGGAAAGGGCCGGTATTTCTCGGCGTAAGTGTTGCTCAATCTACTCCTACTCTAATATGCATGCATACGACAAGGAGCATGTGAGAGATCTGAGTATATGGTATTGAAATAATTCAACGGAACATACACATATGGCGATACTCAATCTTTAAGTGAGGTAGTGAAGTGGCACTTTGTCTCCCTCCCAGATTTCACAATGAGTAGCTCATCAACTAACATCAAGCTAAGTGGCGCCGACGTCTCCGTAGGCCGCGACCTTCCACCAGGGACAGACCCCTACAGGGAATGGCTGCGCACCTTCGTAGCCAACAACCTCAACATAACCCAAGCCTTCTACACCCACCCCAAGATCCTAATCGCGGCCCTCAACGGGCCCGCGATCGGCCTCTCTGCCGCGCTGACAGCCTTCGCGGACTTCATCTACGCGGCCCCGCACACGTTCCTGCTCACGCCATTCTCATCTCTCGGGCTCGTCGCCGAGGGCGGCGCATCACATGCGCTCGTACAACGCCTGGGCATCAGCAAGGCCAACGAGGCGCTTCTTATGAGCAAGCGCATCACGGCCGACGAGCTGGTCGCCACGGGCTTCGTGAACAAGGTCTTCCCGTGCGAGAAGGGCGATGATGCGGGGTTCATGCGCCAGGTCCTGGCCGAGGTGGAAGATCGCCTAGGCGATCATCTCATTGGCGATTCGTTGACGGGCATCAAGGCCCTCATCAGGAAGCCCGAGAGGGAGATTCTCGATAAGCAGAATGTTGCGGAGGTCTTCGCTGGACTTGATAGATTTGTTAGGGGTATCCCGCAGAAGGAGTTTCAGAAGATCGCCTCGGGGCAGAAGAGGCATAAGTTGTGAGATGGGGGTGGGTTTATGGAGGGAACTGTAATACGGCGGAGTAGACAGCGAGCGGCGAATAAGAGTGTGAATATTATGTATAAGGGCTTTTGTCCGTGTTGGATCTATCTGTCTAGAGTTCAACTCTTCTTGTACTTGTCTATAGACATACATATGGTACATCGAAATAAAAGTATCTATACGGGTATCATCACACGAGTAAGCCGAATAGTAGACCAGTCCTCTTCCAATACTCCCCGGACGCTTTCGCGACACGACGCTCAGCTTCGGCGTCAAGCCCTGTCTTTTCTAATATTTCCAAGGCAAGATCCTTCATTATCTTATCCGAGTCACCATCACTGATGCTAAGATAGTGTTGAAGTAGATGGATATCAAACAGCCACTGGATGAAGACGTCTTTGCTGCGCTCTGGCGTCTTTTCGCTGTCCTCCGCTGGGGTCTCGCCGCTCTCGTCTTTCTCTTCCCCCTCCTCTTTCGACTCAGATTCCGCTCCATCTGAGTCTGCATTAGACGCCGCCAGTTCTTTGCGCCACACATCCACAAGCTGTTGGCTAAAGACGCGCTTTAAGGTCTTAATAGCAGCGGGGGTCCAAAGGTCTACCCCAGAATCACCCATCGACATGGTGATATTCCTTAGGAGCTTGAAGGTACTAGGAGAGGGCTGAACAGGTAAGGCTAGCTCGCCTTCCCACAACGCTCGGCCAGCTACGCGCTTCTGCGTCAGTGTGGTCGTGGTAAATTCCTCCAATGGTGTTACAGCTACATGGGCTGCAAGTTTTTCATGTAGTGAAGTGACATTGCCCAAGCCAAAAGACTGTATCCCCTCGAGCTTGGGGAGACGGGTCCGGATATCTCTCAAGATACGGAGGATATACATCGCAACCTGGCCATTATCTAAACCATCCTTTCGACTTTGCCACAGCGCCGCGAGCTGCCCATCTAGGTCTTTAAATGATTTTAAGAGCGAGTCGTCGAGTCGGGTGTGTAATAGTTGTGGGTCGTCCTTGCTTAGGAGTTCTTGCCGGGCCTCAAGGACGTCCTCGTCCTCGATTTCCTCTTCATCGTTCTCCCACCTCTGCCGTCTAAGTTGTTCTACTAGGTCTCCGACGTTCCCTATTATCTGATGCCATGATTCGAAACCGGTCACAGCTCGTGCAACTGCGTCATTCCTCCCATATACTCGCGACACGACTTCATGGGAGATTTGAGCGGCGCTAATGGAAAAGTCCATGCCAATCATCTCGTCATCCCATAGGCCTCGTTGGCGGTCGGTAATCCCCGATTGCCATGCCTCGAGCGTAGCAGCCACTTCAGATCCGACGAGTTTGAGCTTCGCGACCTTGGTTTCTATGAGTTGTAAGAGGTGGTCGTTGATCGCTTTACGCAAGCCGTTGAGCATGATAGATGGATCAAATCCTCTAGCTTTCCCGCCGTTCCTAATCCATTGCTGCAGCGTGCTTGTCCGTAGTTCTATGATAGCCTTGAATTCAGAAATGTGCTCGAGCGTCTTGCTCAGGCCGCCAAGAACAGTTTCACCGCCCTTGGTCGCCCAGCTCGTGAGCATCTCCCTAGCCTGTTTGCCGTCTAGGTCGTCATGTCTTATGAAAGGTGTGAAGTACCGGATGTCATCGCCGCACCACCTCTCAAAAATGTCTAGTCTAAGGCCCTCCAGAGATCGGAGCGATTCGTCGGCTAGAAGTGGCTTCTTCTTAAGCTCTAGTAATGCGTCGGGCAACTTATTTGGGATCAATGCTTGCACATCCACTAATGTCTTGGTGTATAGCTCGAGACCTCGGAGGACGTTATCCGTACCCCTATCTTTCTCGTGTTCCTCGTAATCAAACTCATAAGTGATAGCCTCGGCTCTAATGCTTAGGAACCGTCGTAACGCGTCCCTCGTACCAGAGCTTGACGACAGGCTATAAGCGGACAGAGCTTTGAGTATATCCGTGATGTCCGTCCCTTCTCTGATCTTCTGCAGCACTTTCTCGACCGCGCGCACCAGCTTTCTCCTCAATCCATCCAAGCTCTTCTTCGCAGCTTCAACCGCAGTCCTAATTTCCTCATCTGCCGCCTTCAGATTGCCGAAGCTAGACACGAGCAATCGGCTCAGCACGAACACCTTGGCAGCCAACACCAGCCGATCACCCCTGCCCCCTTCAGCATCTTTCCCCGTGCTGGCCCTTAGTAACCGGCTGATAGCCAGCCCGCAGGCCCGTAGCAGCTTCACGCGCGCAGCCTGGCCCAGTGCGGCCTCGGCGCCCTCGTTGCCGCGGAACCGGCCCAGGCCGGTGATCTTGTTGTCGACGACGCTGCGCCCGCATTGGCTGCCCATGTGGGTCAGCACGTCCTGTGCCGACAGCATGTCCTCCCGCATCTGCACGATGGTGTCGGCGGTGCCGAGGAGCTGGCGGTAGCTGTTGCCGACCTGGGTGCGCAGACGGGCGGACTTCTCGTCGATCTGAGTGTGCAGCGTCTTGTGGATGGCGCGGATCTGGGGCAGCGTGTATGCCGTGAAGATCTGGGCTGAACTCGTCAGCGTCGAGGTGTCAGGCGTAGCCATTGTCGGAGTGGGAAGGTTTGGCTAGTCCCTAGAGGGGGTCGTAAGTCTCGTTATCGTGGTCTCGGCATTTGTATGGGGTCTGGAGGTAGGTAGATTCGCGGTGTGTAGCTACCTAGCTTAAATACCTAGGTAGGTATTCGAATAGCTTCGTGATACGTACGAAGTTGTTCGACAACAGGGGTACTTACAATAAGTGGTCAGTTGGGGACCCAGCTGTCAGCAGCTGGTAGTTAATCTCCCGGAAAGTCTGAAAGACCCCTCCCCCACCATCACAGGTAATACACATACTCCGTGCTAATACTATGAATGCCACGGCTTGTTTCACTACACAGATGAAATGGAGTATAGTCGAAAAACAAGATAATGGCCACTGAGACTGTATAATAGGCAATGGGAGCCCCAAAAAATATAAAGACGCTCTCCAAGACGGAGAAAAATGTTGACAAGAGTGGGATTCGAACCCACGCGGATTGCTCCACCGCGAAGCTGTTCATGATACAATCAAGTTTTCCTGAACACGGCGCCATAACCAACTCGGCCATCTTGCCATTGTTTGTTGATGTTTTGTCGGCTGCTAAGGAGGCACTATAAATGCCGGCTCGGGCCATCTATGGAGGTAGGTAGAGAAAGTGGAGACCCCGCTGTGGCCACTAGGTAGGTATGAAAAGGCATCAATCAATCACTACCTACATAGATCCACGTGAGGTGTGTATTGTATTGTGCTACATATTATAGGTAGAAAGTGATTATACAATTCAGCAAAGGAAATGGCTTACATACTAGGTAGTAATGCAATATGTGTAAACGGGTTACGTTGAGATCGGTAACAGAGTGAGTGAGTGGCCCGCAGTTTCACTGGGCATAACAAGATAGGTAAGGTGCTTTTTCTGTTCTACGTTTGACTCAACTTCATGGTCTGTGCAGAGCGAGTTGACTTTATGCAACTCTCAACTCTCCCCATCTACCGCTTTCTCAAGTGTTGTCTATGTGGACTGCGTTCGGTCCATGGGATTAAATAGTTCCGGATAGATTACAGTCTTGCTCCCGGGTACAGATAGTAGGTACAGATAGTACAGATGGACCAGGTGGTTAGGTATTCAACATCCATCATGGACAATGCCTCGCTTATACCTTATTCCGAACGCAGGGCCAGTCTATCCCCCAGATTGGCACGCAAATCCTGGAGGATTTCATCGACAGAATCTGACACACAGACTTACCTTTGCCATGGCGAAATGGCCGGCTCCCAAGTGTGCTGATTGGCAACAAGGGACGGGAGCGATGCTCATATAATGCATCTGTATTCATGCTTTGCCCCGATCTGGCCAGCCTGCTCTACTCTGCATCTACTCTACGCTGCGCACGGATGGGGCAGACTTTCTCTTGACCTGTGTCTACCCGCACCCGCCACATGCGACAGTCCAGACTATTCAACCGGCCCTCTCTTTGTTCTCGGCTTAGGTATTGGGGTAACGGCCGGGCAGCCACACCTACAGCCCTTCTGTCACCCGCGGACCGCAGCCAATCAGCTCTCGTATAAGTCCAAACATGTTTCGTAAGGCAGACTGCCTCTACGAAGCTACCTTTGCGAGCATGAACTCTGCCTCGAGGATAACGACTTTCCATCGTCTGATCTGCGCTATTAGGCTTTTTGATCTCTTTTCATCCCATCATCGGGCCACACTCTTCGGGCGTACCCGCACCCTCACCACCACCATCACCATCCGGATCGTAGTGATTTCAGGTTCGATGGACCATCTGATGTCGGGCGTCCAAGGTGAGCGAACGACCTGGCCAGGATGGAGCTCACCGACATGAACAAGCAGAATCGCACACAGTGGGTGACTATCTGCGTACGTGAGGGTAGAAAACGGCATGCCTTACTTGATATGATAACCTTGCCACAAGTCATGCTTCTGTTGTCCCAAACCATCACCACTATCACTGACCGTGGCCTATGACGGGGGATTTGAATCCCTATCTTTTGCCACCTCGCGAGGATAACCCGAATGGCATGAATAGGGAAAAGGTTAGTCCTCGAATCAACTGGCACCTCTCGTATTTTGTGATTGTCGCCCAAGTCCGGCCGTATGGCGATCAGATGCGATCCATCTGACACACAAGGCTGATTTATCCGGTTCCCCTTCTGATGCCGTCCGTACAAACTCACCTTTCGTCCAACGCCGGGTGTAGATCATTTTCAGGCGGCCGACGAACCTGTAATCTTGTTTTTTATTTCGCCTCCAGGAATACTATACTACTATATCTGAAGACTTAGCCCTCGCATTATGAAGAAATGTATGGCGGGAGATTAATTTGTCGCTTCATTTCGTCCACTCCGGTCTGCAGGTTTAGCCAGCTCCATAACACGCCCCGTCTACGCGGCACAAAGCTCTCAATATGTCTCTGTTACCAAGGAGCGACGTGCTCCTTGCTGTTGAAAATAACATCACCGAGGTGGCTGTGTCGTCGGATCCATTCCGCTTCACGAGCCCCCAGCAGAGCCTTGCAATCGGCATCGTCATAGGCTTCACGGCTCTCGCTTTCGTTGTGCTCTGTACTAGAGTAGCAGGGAGGTTATCATCACATCAGTTTGGGCTAGGTAAGCAAGATATGGCACCTAGGTTTAGAGGAGCTAGCTAACGGGTGAACTAGATGATGCCCTAGTATGCATAGCGATGGTACGCAGTCGACGACGTGTCGGATTACCTAGAAGATGAATGAACTAACTGGATGTAAATTCAGGTATTATCAATGCTGGAAACCGCAGCTAGTTATATGTGTATGTCTTCTGCGATGGCTGGTCGGGTTCTGGGCATATGCTAACATACTCAAAGTCATAAAGACAAATTTCATAGGAATTAGATGGCAAGATATTCCGCCTCACGATCCAATACCCGGCCTGGTATGGAATTATGCTATTGAAATCCTTTACAATCCCATTTTGGCGCTAGTCAAGACATCGATACTACTCTTGCTGCTGCGTTTATTTGGGCAAAAGCCTGGCGTAAAGCGTTTTATCGTCTGGATCAACATGGCCAACCTGGGGATGATGATTGCGGTCTTCCTCGCTACCGTGCTTCAGTGCATACCCATCAACAAGACCTGGCAACCCGAGTTGGAGGGCACATGCCTTGACAGGAGGATCCTATTTACCGTTGTGTCCACGTTTAATATCGTCACCGACATACTCATACTAGCGCTACCTCTGAGAATCTTCATCGATTTGAAGATACCCAGGCGCACAAAGATCGCTCTGATGATGATTTTCCTGCTTGGATTCCTGTAAGTTTATATAGCCAAGGAGTGCAGTTAGCTCAAGGAAGAGGGTACATAGGCTGATTTTCTCTACAATTAGTACGACTATCACAAGCATTATCCGACTTGTCCTTCTCATCCAGGGCCTATTCATGCTGAAGACAACTCTAAGCGCCGACGCGAACATCGGCTTCGTGACCTCCGCCATCGAGACGAACCTTGCCATCATCACGGCCTCGGCGCCGGCACTGAGGCCGCTCCTGCGGGCGTGGTTCCCTAGGCTATTCCGCGTTGATCGCGACGAGGTCATCGGGAACACGGGGCGGAGAGTGCTAGGGACGGCAGCGACGCGGATGACGCGGCTTAAATCACAAACACAGCTGCAGAGCCGGACGCAGCGGGAGAGCGAAGATACCACAATGACGATGACTTTTAACGGCATTATTAAGAATGCCGACAAGATCTTCCCGTACAATACTAGGATAGACAACCCCCGGCCGGCCACGGCACCACAGAGCCAGCCGAGTCTCGGCAGTCCGCCACCCGAGAAGTGGATATAGCATTGTCTTTTCCTTTTTGGTCTCTTATCCACTCTATGAGTTGACTGTATGTTGTGATGAATGTACGAGATTGAAGAAAAACAAAATGATTACGGGTTATGGGCGCCGTCATTTTCTGTACGCATCTGTGTGGTTGGTTGGTTCTCTTTGGTCCGGCATCTAACGGCGTAAGGGATGGAGTTCCGATGCATGAGACTTTCTTCGATTCAAAAACTGTATCTACGCATACGTACGTGGTAATTTTCAATTAATTTTGAGACTGACTTAATAATGCAAACTTGGCTCTTGACGCACTCGTGGAGATCTATCTATGCTGCGGTAATGTGGACATACATATATGCGTAGATATGTAGGCAGATAACATCGAAACCGAGCGGGTTCACCCATCTCCGCGGGCATGCACTGCATGCGAAGTAGAAGTCCGTCCTTTCCGGAATCCTTCACTCTTCCCCTCATCACCCGCTCAGGGCCCATGCGTCATCGTCTTCCACGAGTTGTACATATCTTGACCGAATTATCGAAGTGCTGGATAGAATCCCGCGAACATTCATTCAGCTAGCCACGATCACGATGGTAACTAACAATGACCTGAAAGAAATAAAGGTTGCGTCTCACATATCGACGATCCTTGGCCTCAATCTGGCCCTGCAGCGCGTATCCCTCGAACCCCGGATTCCCGCGCGCACGCCCATTCGGTTGTCGGGATTAGGGTGTGGGGACAGCATATGTACGATGAGGTTCAGGTACCGTTCGCTACACACACGATGGCGATCGGCTTGATAAGAGAATAATCTCTTTCTCTCATTCGTTCATTTATTTGCTACTAGATGAATTCAAGTACATAGATAGCTTCTGTAAACAGGTGCCTCCCATTGTCACTTTCGGGCGGATGGGAGTGGAGGATGCATTCCTCTCTTTCTACCCCATGGTGGCATACACAGACGTGGAGTAGGAAGATAGGCATGTTACTGGCTCTGGGGCTTCATGTAAGGGAAGTTTTAAGGTGTTTAAGGTAAGTGATACATCTCTTCGCAATTCGGTAGCTTCGCATAGTGCAACCAACCTTTTCCGGTTTCGCTCACTCGTATTCGTCAGCGTCGCAAACATTTATAGACACGTGTAGAGACGAGTTCTAGGCCAATCTGGCGCAATCTGGGGAGATATGGCTTGCAGGTTCATTGTGATATGTGATATGACGCCCTTTCCTCCTATCTCTCGGCGGACCTCCAACTCTTAATCAACCATCTTGGGATTCTAGGTAAATGGTTAATCAATCTTGGAGTAGGTATTCCTGCTTTGATAGCTAGGTCGAGAGAGAAGACGTCATTCCAAGCTTTCAATCACAGCTGAAGCCCCACGCTAGGACAAGTATGACAATGGGTATTAGTAAAAGTGCTAGGTATGCAATATCGTGGTGACCCTATTCTCGCTGCCTTGGTTGACGTGGACACTAGTGACAACTAGTGCCAATGGCTGTAAGAGGCCGCTTGGAATTTAGGGAGGCTTCGGACACCGCAGCAGCTGGTCCAGACTGTTGCGGTTTCGGCGGTTCGTCGATAGATGGTCGGTCATAAGGGGCTTCTAGAATACAGAGGGCGTTTGCGCAATAGAACTAACCTAGGGTGAAATGCCTAACGGTCTTGCCCTATGTACGTTGGAATAATTGGACGGGTCCCCTAATTTATTTCAGACAGACACATCGTAGCCTGTAGGCACTGGGTTGAGGCTGA